GGGTTAGGGTTGGGATTGGGATTGGGGTTGGGGTTGGGGTTGGGGTTGGGGTTAGGGTTAGGATTAGGGTTAGCGTTAGGGTTAGGGTTAGGGTTAGGGTTAGGGTTAGGGTTATGGTTATGGTTAAGGTTATGGTTAGGGTTAGTGTTGTGGTTAAGGTTATGGTTATGGTTAGCGTTGGGTTGTCAGAGTTTCGGATCAGGGTTGGGTTAGGGTTATGGTTGGGGTTAGGGTTAGGGTGATGGTTAAGGTTATGGTTAGGGTTAGTGTTGTGGTTAAGGTTATGGTTAGGGTTAGCGTTGGGTTGTCAGAGTTTCGGATCAGGGTTGGGTTAGGGTGATGGATTTGGATCGGTTTAGGGTTAGTGTAGCGGTTGGCCTCATGGTGACAACGAACGTTAGGGGTTTGGAGACCACGTAATATTTCTTTTATTAACCATGCAGCCCAGCCCCGCTTGCTGCGTGCAGCCCACACAGTAACACAGCACTCCTTCTATTGCTCTGAGATATTATATCGAAGGTCAACTGTGACGTAACTACGGCCAGGTATCCGCGTGCCTCGGGCAGGCGATGGGAAAAAATTAATAGTCTAAAGATGACCCGGGACGACCTAAACACACAAGTGATTACATCATGTGGCAGGGAAATGCACTGCGTTGACCCGAAAGCATGCGAATGATTACGTAAGGTACTCGCGACATACCTTAAGTCGGACACACGGTTATTATCGTGGGTATCAATAGATGGCTTTCCAGCCCACACGCTGACTGACTAAGCCTCCCTGCAGGACGCGTGTTTACTGGCGAATTCGTGTGGCTACTGTTCGTGCCTTAAGCACAGGGGGACATTGCGTAAACCCTGACTAATAGAAACCTTATTAAATATTCACCAGCTGTGAATTAAACGATGAAACAACAGAATTCATGGAAACGCAGACGAATCTAGCGCTAGGCCGACGGCATCGCGTTCTCTCTTAATGACGAACGCGTGTAAACATAATTATTATCAAGATCCTTGTGTTTAAGGGTGCGGAGCCAATGTGGCAAAATGTCATTCCCCGAACGAATGTTATGTTTTGGGAATAATAAAGGTGAGTCATAGCCAGACATCAAATGAAGTCAGACAGCTTTACACAGACATCAAACGCATTCATATAGCATAGATTGGAACATTGCCTTGGTGACTAGGCTTCTGCTCGCTGATTTTATATCATATTTAGGCTTCGACATTACCCCCAGAAAGCGCGACGAGAAACATCCGTGGCCGTAAAATGGACAATATTTGCTAGACTTTATGGCGTAACATACCTATATAGCTGGACGTGCTAGTAAAATGTTATCGCATCACGTGTGTCCAATCGTTTATAGCCACGTTTAGTAGGACTCGTAGCCTGAGCAGTAAACATTATCCAAGCGTTTAGTGCTGTTTAAAAACGTTACAGTTTCTTACGCAGTAGGAGCCATATGAGATACACGCACACACACACACACACACACACACACACACACACACACACACACACACACACACACACACACACAACGCACGCGCGCCCGCGCGAGCGTCGCCCACTAAGATCGACCGAAAACGGCGTCACGAAAAAAATTGGCGTTACGAACTCGTCAACGACGGCCATCCACGGCACATTCCAACGGAAGATGTAGAAGTAGTTAGAGGAACACGACAATGGCTGTACTCGGTCTTATCTTGGGTAGGTGCTGTTTTATTTCATGGAGCGGATATAGCGCAGCTGAGAAAGATTAATGACTACTCGTATTCTCGGGTTTAGTGCGACGGATTTGGTGCGCGCAGTTTTGATTGCTATGAATTCTACGCATACATTTCTCTAGGGAATGAAGGTGCATTTTAAAGCTTCAATCTATGCACAGTGTACGTTGCAATGCGTTTATTGTTGTCATTCCCTGGGCACGTGGCAATTAAGTGAATGAGTGTGTGCGGGGCGCGCGTGTGTGCGTAATAATGCGTGCATATGTGCGTGCGTGCGTGTATGTTTGATCGCACGTGCATATGTGCGTGCGTGCGTGCGTGTATGTTTGATCGTACGTGCATATGTGCGTGCGTGCATGCGTGTATGTTTGATCGCACGTGCATATGTGCGTGCGTGCGTGCGTGCGTGTATGTTTGGTCGCACGTGCATATGCGCGTGCGTGCGTGCGTGCGTGTATGTTTAATCGTATACGTGCATATGTGCGTGCTTGCGTGCGTGTATATTTGATCGTACGTGCATATGTACGTGCGTGCGTGTATGTTTGATCGCACGTGCATATGTGCGTGCGTGCGTGTATGTTTGATCGTACGTGAATATGTGCGTGCGTGCGTGTATGTTTGATCGCACGTGCATATGTGCGTGCGTGCGTGTATGTTTGATCGCACGTGCATATGTACGTGCGTGCGTGTATGTTTGATCGCACGTGCATATGTGCGTGCGTGCGTGTATGTTTGATCGCACGTGCATATGTGCGTGCGTGCGTGTATGTTTGATCGCACGTGCATATGTACGTGCGTGCGTGTATGTTTGATCGTACGTGAATATGTGCGTGCGTGCATGTATGTAAGTGCGCGCGCGTGTGTGTAAGTGGCAAGAGAATCGTTGCGCCTACCAGCCCAGCTGCATACATACTACACCCTAGCGCGGCGTGCATCTGCGCCTGCGATGCTGTTGGCTTCATCGTCATCGTCATCGTCATCGTCATCGTCATCGTCATCGTCATCGTCATCGCTGCTGAGTCAGCCAGCCGACTCGCGAGCGGTGTGCGGAGCGGTCTTACGCATCAATAAATAATGTACAGCTCACTTGTGAAAAAGCAAGATCACACGTTTAATATTAATGACGCTAATGGTATTCTTCCGCCCTCAGCTGCCGCGCGCGCTTGCTAGCTTACAATCCCCAACAAGCAATGAGCGCTGCGTGACGTCAACATGACGCCGATACGGCGTCGCAAGAGGATGCGTTTCGACAATTCAGAAATCGTCAGAGAAAAAAGTAGAGGCAATGTGCCGCGATGTAGCATCGCCAGGCCAACGTGACGCAGCCATGGCAGCAGCAGCAGCAGCAGTAGTAGTAGCAATTATTTTAGCGTTGGCATTTATTGCCAGTATTGCTCCAATTACATTAGTTCTCATTAATATTGCTATTGCTGTTTGCGAGTTTATAATGGTGAGCACTACGTTGATGACAGCATGGAGAGTGTGGATGGTGCGGATGACGACGACGACGATGTTGCTGCTGCTGTTGCTGCTGCTGTTGTTGTTGTTGTTGCTGCTGCTGCTGATAATGATGATGCTGAAGATAATGATGGTGATGCTGATGATGATGCGGATGATGATGATGATGATGATTATGATGATGATGATGTTGATGATGATGATGATGATGATGATGATGTTGATGATGATGATGAGGACGACAAGGGCGCACGAGAGCAGAAACAAGAGTAGATGCAAAAAAGGATGACGACAATGACGACGCTAGCTTTGATGTAGATTTTATGCGCTGTAAAATTGCCGGCGACACCTGCGACAAAACATCCGTATAACGAATACTGGGGCCCGTTGTCAGAAACATCGTAAAGTTAATGCTAAAGTTAATGCTACGATAACACTTACGACTAATGCTAATGTTGCGAGACTAGCGTTGACAGAAACACATCGCAGCTATTAGAAAACTTACGATAACAGGAACTTCATCACAAGGCTGCTGATTCAGTGATTGGATGAGAATCGATCACAAAATTCAAATTCATACACATTTATTGTACATCACGAGTAATTTATACCATATTAATGATGGCTCAACACATATAAATAATATTTGTATGAAAAAACGACGTGTCATTGAATTTAATTCTGCACAACAGAACAAATTCTCACACTGTTTAACGCGAGACGCCGAGAATCGTAGGACCAAGCGTTGGAAAACCCTTAGAACAAAGAGAACTAAATCGCCATACGCCACTTTGCTAATAGTATTGCTTTATGTTTTTCTATTAGCGTTTTAAGTATATATTAATGCATTTTTGTACGTGTTTTCAAGAAAAACCACACATTTTTATTTCATTGATTATAAAAATATAATAGTCAATCTACTAATGTTAATTTTCGTAGTGTAATGTGTTATTTCTCAACCTTTATATTTTAAGCCTTACGAGATGGCGTCTGAGCTCTCGTCAATGTATGCAGCGCTATCTTGCGACGATTTTTCGTTCTCGTAACCTTACGATGTTTCTGTCAACGGTTTACGAGTGGAAGTTAATGGTAAGACTAATGTTGCGACTAATTTTGTTTCTGACAACGGCCCCCTGGACCGTATTGCATAACAAAATAAACCGTCGCCATTAAAGCCGAAATTAATATTTACGATCTAGTTTATTCTATTAATGGAATTTGACCTATTATGCGTGCATACGTTTCCGATCGATTCAGCTAAGTGATTATTTATGTATTGAAAGCTCCCTACACACGACTTTGCGCGTATAAAAGACCTGTGCGTACCAATGGCTGCTTGCACATCAAACTGAAGGCTTTCCGAGAAACTTACGCGGTTCTTTGTGCTGGCGGAGCTTCCTTGTAGCAATAGCTAGCCACAAATCCTCAGCACAAGACCCAGCTGGAACACTGCCGCCAAAGCTTTAACCCGTTCATTTGTTTCAGATCCGTGCAGGATCAACAATGGCGGATGTGCGCATATGTGTCAGTCACAGAAGGGAAAGATTATGTGCTCGTGTCGCACTGGCTACCACCTAGCCAAGGACGAGAAGCGATGCGAAGGTGAGCCTGACTGGGGGTAGATCTTTGATAGAGCAGTATAAATGGAGTGTAAGACTAGGAAAACGAAATAAAAGAGAACGGGCGTAATTCATGAGGGAGAATGAAAGATGGAGATGGTGAACGATGAAGAGAGAAGGAGGAGAAAAGTGCAGGAAGAAGGGGTGTGGGAGAGAGCGCGCCCGAGAGAAAAAGAGCGAGTGAGAGAGAGGTATAAAAAGCGTAGAGAGAGAATGGTAGAGAGCAAAAGAAGTAGAAACAAAAGGAGAAAGAGAATAAGAGCGAGTGGGAGCAAGCAAGCAGCCGAGAGGGCGAAGGATCTTGATAGAAAGACGAGGTTAGAACAAATGAGTGAAGCAGCTCACCCGGCTGTACATAATTTTGTCAACGCTATCACGGCGTTTATATTTAGCAGCTCGTTCAGCGCTCGGAGCGCGCTTGTTTTCCTGCTTACCATACATTTCCGCTTCCGCTACATTTTCGCATAATGATTGATCATGGAGTTCGGTAGCGATTTCTCAACGTTAAACAGTTAGTATATAGATAGCTATGGTGAAACTACTAGAGCTGTTAGCCTGTGCTTCTGCGTGCCAGCGATCGCGTGTATATTGTTGTTTGCTGCTGATGAACACGCAAACAACTGTTATAAGTCGTGCCGTAATGAGCTTACGTAAGCAGCGCTGGGGGGACTAGCCGGCTCAAATGTCCCGGCCTGCGTGTGTGCCTGCGGGCGTGCGTGCGTGCGTGCGTGCGTGCGTGCGTGTGTGCCTGCGTGTGTGCCTGCGTGTGTGCGTGCGTGTGTGCCTGCGTGTGTGCGTGCGTGCGTGCGTGCGTGCGTGCGTACGTGCGTGCGTGCGTGCGTGCGTGCGTGCGTGCGTGCGTGTGTGCCTGCGTGTGTGCCTGCGTGTGTGCGTGCGTCGTGCGTGCGTGTGTGCCTGCGTGTGTGCCTGCGTGTGTGCGTGCGTGCGTGCGTGCGTGCGTGTGTGCCTGCGTGTGTGCTGCGTGTGTGCCTGCGTGCGTGCGTGCGTGCGTGCGTGCGTGCGTGCGTGCGTGCGTGCGTGTGTGCCTGCGTACGTGCGTGGGTGTGTGCCTGCGTGTGTGCCTGCGTGCGTGCGTGCGTACGTGCGTGCGTGTGTGCCTGCGTGTATGCGCGCGTGTGTGCCTGCGTGCGTGCATCCGTGCCTGCGTACCTACCTTTTACAGCTGCACGCGGAAACAGCATCTCTCAGCGGTCGCTGATGTCACGCGATATGACGTTATATGACGTAATCACCGATTCCCGCTTGCTATTGGTTCATTTGGTTGAATCGTCTGCTCGCCGTTGTCGGTGCCTCACTTATTTCACACGTATTTCACGTATTTCACGTATTCACGTATTTCACACGGCGTGAAATCAGACAGGTGGCGCCAAAATTCGATTGCGATAACACGCATGACGTATATGCGACCGCGGATAAAATGCGTGAGCTCCGATAAATATTACTGACTTAAACGGATTTGCGTTGACAAACACTCTCGCCTGCAACGCGTTTACTTTAAATTTCAAGCGATTAGCATGAGGATCTATAAACGGAATTCTGATCTCGGCAAAAGTAAAGAGCGCGTCGTTTTGCGAAGCAACGGCATTAAATAACTCTTTCGCAATGCAAGCGTGAAATCCTCATGTCACTCACATATATATCCCTCGTCATCCCACAATGCTGCGTGCTTGGGCGACTGTACGAAGGAACATCAGCGTGACTAAGCTCGGTGCAAGGCGTGCTTTATTTGATATGGTCTGGTCACGCACTACCTATGAAAGGTTTCTCAAAATTACTATGAATATTGTCATCTAAATACACTGAACACAAAATGTATTTTTATAACTTTTTAGAAATGTAAGAATTTATAAATAGACAATGACAGGTATAATATACTCGTGAATTTACGTCAGACAAACGCTACTACATAAAATATGAAGCGGAGGACACACCATGCGAATTTCGCTGCGATCATATCCGCAGCGATATTCGCATCCGCATGCGATAATTGAGCGGACAGACCATGAGAATTTATTCGCACGACCGCAGCGGACACACTACACACGATCTACTGTCTGTCTGTAGCGGTAAAAATCCGCAGCGAAAATATCAAACATGTTTGATCGCTGCGAATTTCGGTGCGGATGAAATTCGCCCGCGCTTGAGCGCACACACCATGCGAATTCCGCGGCGGCTTTAAAATCCGCTGCAATCGTGCGAATAAATTCGCATGGTGTGTCCCCATGGTGTGTCCCTATGGTGTGTCCCATCGCATGCGCATAAATGAAGAACTAAGATGATTTTTCACGCGCCTTCGTAACAAGATTAACCATGGTGCTGCGCCGTTTCTCGTTTCGTTTGCAGATGTTGACGAGTGCAGCAGCGAGAAGTCAAACATTTGCGAACAACAGTGCGTCAACACGCAGGGCAACTACAGATGCTCCTGCTATGAAGGCTACCGATTGCTAGACCAGTACAGATGTGAAGGTACGCAGGCTCTGTGTGTGTGTGTGCGCGCGTGACGTGTGTGTGTGTGTGTGCGCGCGCGTCTGCGTGTGTGCGCGCGCGTCACGTGTGTGTGTATGTGTGTGTGTGTGTGTGTGTGTGTGTGTGTGTGTGTGTGTGTGTGTGTGTGTGTGTGTGTGTGTTGTAATGTGTGTGCAGTGCCGTGCGTCGCGTGTGGCGTGTGTGCGTGTGTGCGTGTGTGCGTGTGTGCGTGTGTGCGTGTGTGCGTGTGTGCGTGCTGTGTAGCGTGTGATTGCGTTGTGTGCGTGTGTGCGTGGTGCGTGTCTGCGTGTGGCTTGGTCGTGACGTGTGGTGTGCGCGTGTAGTGCTGGTGAGCGTGTTATGTGTGTGGCGTGCGCTTGCCGTGTGTTGGTCGGGTGTATGTGCGCTGTGGTGCGTGCGTGCGTGCGTGTGTGTGTGATGATGTGTGTGTGGCATA